GGCACTGGGAGCGCAGCAGCACTCCTGCCGCGAGTTCGGATCCTATATAGGGATGGCCGGTGCGCTCACAGAGCTCACTGGCTGATCGCGGTGCGGCCGGTCTCAAAAAGGACAAAAATAATAATAATAATAATAATAATAAACATGCTCATTGTAAAAAATCAAGAGAGAAAAGTTTAGTTCGGATCCTATATAGGGATGGCCGGTGCGCTCACAGAGCTCACTGGCTGATCGCGGTGCGGCCGGTCTCAAAAAGGACAATAATAATAATAATAATAATAATAATAAACATGCTCATTGTAAAAAATCAAGAGAGAAAAGTTTAAGAATTACCATAATCCCACCATCCAAGTTAACCTTGGTACACATTTTATATATCCTTCAGACTTTCTTTGCCTATATACGTACAAGCGTATGGCCTTTGGCAGGGGAGGGAGTCTATAATGAGGTCATAATTTGTCTAAAATGAGATTCAACAAATCACAGATTTTTAAAACTGCTTTTTTCACTTAAATTATCCAACTGTTACATTTAAGGCACTTTATCAGGGATTCCAAAAGTCTTTGAAATTTCAGATGATATGGATATTGCTTTTATATTAAAAATATTTCATGCAAAGACCTTGCTCCTATTTTAGAAAATTATAGCCCGGTGGTCAAGGCACAGGCCGTGGAGTCAGGTTCCCTAGGTTCCAATACTTTTGGCTCTTCCATTACTGGTTTGTGACCCTGGACATGTTACTTATCCTCTCTGTGACTCAGTTTCTTCATCAGTAAAGTGGGGATACTAGTAGTACCTGTTTTGGAGGGTTGTTGGAAAAGTAAATGAGTTAAGTGGCTATTAAGTGCTTAAAACAGTACCTGCCATACAGTAAGTGCCAGATGAGGGTTAGTGATATAATTACGGTAAATAGTTGCTTAGCCAATTAGAATGGCTTTGATTTGATCAGTTTTATGTTTAAATCCATTAACAGCCCATGTAATTGGTATTTCCTTAAATGTTTAGTATATTTTTGCCCACTGGCTGCATTGTCATCGTCATCTTTAGCTGCTCTTGAAACAGCCTGCAGGAAGTGTTCCAAAGGTGCATTCCAGATATATTGCTCAATGATTGTTGTGGATAATTGGATAACTCTTGGGAAGAAGTAGATTCTCCACATCATACTATAAACCAAAATAAAATCTAGGTAGAATTAGAGCAGTAGCAGACTAGAAGAAAATATACTTGAATATCATTTAAATCCTGTGATGGAGGCTCTTCTAAGCATGACCCTAAAGCCATAGAACATGAAAGAAAATATTGATAGACTTAACAATACATAAATAAATAATCGTGTCCTATAAAATAATGCCATTAACAAATACCTGAGTCAGGATGGCTTTTTACCTGGGAAGATCATTCTGAATTTGCTGATAGTTGGGAGGGGCCCTGCAATCTCTTTTCTCCAGTGGTCATCATAGCAGGGTATATTGATTCACTAATTAGGCTGTGATTTCACCTTATTGGCAGTGCAAGTGGCATCTGCCTGTCCTGCTGAGTAATCCAGCTTGGTAACCAAGGGGGTTCATTCAGCCTTCACTACAAGGGAGTTCCCTGTGGTTAGATAAACTGATCTGTTGCTTGGTAACTACAGGATTATGAGGTGGAATCCCTGTTTGAGAGGGGTTCGGGTATTTGGAGGGCATGGAGGGCAAGGGAGCTGGCAGGTTCCTGGGAGCACAGCTTTCGGCAGCAGGCATCGTGCACCCATCACCTGCTTGGTATAGAGCAGTCCACCTTCCCATCGGTACTTCATCTTTTCAGCACTGGGCCTCAGAGCAAAGGACAAGGAGATAGGGAGCTGGCCAAGGGGAGAGACGGGTCCTTTTGGGGTGGCTGTTGTGACCACAGGTGAAACCCCTACAGGGTTGGCCCCAAGGTTCTCCCACCTAAGGAAGAGGTCTCTGGAACTGTGAACCACCAAGGGCCTCTAAGTTAGTGGACTGCTGGGTCCCGGGTTGAAAGGACATTGACTAGAATAAAAGGGTGGCCAGGCAATGTGGTGATCGTAACCTGAAGGCAAGCAGGACCGTCTCCAAGACGCGCTCTCTCACCATCCTCTCCTGCAATGTGGACACGAAGTCCTTAGGGAATGTTCCTGTTCAGTCTTCCTATTCAGGACTGCCAAAGACTGCTGTCTGCTGCCCCAGCCCCAGCCCCAGCCAGGTTTGTGAAGGGACGTGTCTTGACAAACTGTGCAAGTGGCCCCAGTGGCAAGGGTGTGCGTGTATACAGGGTGCATGTCTGCCCACTGTGTGGGTCGCATACATCGGTGTAGGCCTGGAGCCCGTCTCTTGGCTCTGTCTCGTGGACCACCAGCATGAGGACACAGCGTTACTGACGCCGTTGGCTGGAAGGTGCTTCTGCAGCCCGTGCTAGCTATGTGGGCAATTAGTGTATCAATCACCCAAGTGAGATTCTGGTTATTTATTTGCTTTAGCAGTGACAGAAACAATCATTGAAGTGCTAGAGCTTATGCTGGAGAAAATATTTTGACTGAAATTTTGCATATTTTGAAACTCAGGTTGTTACACTTAAAATTATACACATTGTGAATACCTGGCTTCAAACAAGAGTGAAGGAAAAGCATTCCTTCCTGTCAGAACCCGTTCACTCTGTCTGTCATGCAACCTGACTAAAAATAAACCCAGGCACAGGAACAAGCAGCCTTCAGTTTGGAGCAAGTCGAGTGCTCTCGACTGCGGGGTCTCTCGCCTCCTGCTGCTTCCCAACCACATGTCAGCGCTCCGCAGCCCGGGCGTTGCTGCACAGTCTACACTGGGGGGCGTCCTGGGGTTAGGCCCATTGCTCTTTAGGAGATGCTGGATGCAATCAGAATAGCGCTCGACTGCGGGGTCTCTCGCCTCCTGCTGCTTCCCAACCACATGTCAGCGCTCCGCAGCCCCGGCGTTGCTGCACAGTCTACACTGGGGGGCGTCCTGGGGTTAGGCCCATTGCTCTTTAGGAGATGCTGGATGCAATCAGAATAGCGCTGGCCCGGCTCTCACGGGTCACAGAGTCAGTCCTGGCTCCTGCGTGGCATCTCCGGACCTGAGCGTCCTCATGTTTAGCTGTGGCTGACTGCAGTCAACCACCAGCTAGAATCTTAGATGGCTTTTTTTATTTAATCTTACAGGACCTTATGAGCCCTGTTCTCAATATCATCCCCATTCTTCAGATGAGGAAATTGAGGCGCAGGGTCTGAGTCACTGTGACAGCCAGGTTCCACCCTGTGGCCTTGCTCTCGTCCTTCCTCACTCTTTACTTCTCAGCCCTCTGGCTTCTGCCCCCATTGTTCCACTGAAGCAGTCCTCGTGAGACCAGAGGACTCTGTTAAACCAGGGTCATTCTCCACCCAAGTCCCTGCTGGGCCCAACGGGCAGCCTGGTGGGAAGCACAGAGGCTCCAGGCCATCTGACGTGGGTTAGCACCATGGCTGCTGCGCTTCCGAGCTCTGTGGTCTTGGGCAAGTCACCCACCCCCTCGAGTCTCAGTGTCCCTGTCTGTAAAACGAGGGTAATAATCATACCTGCTCATCGAGTGAGGATTATAGGAGACAGTGTGCGTAAATCATTTCACACAGAACCCGGGAAGTACTTCCCTGTACATTTCTAATCTTCTCTCTAAATCCTGTCCCTGTTACACACACCCAAGCCCTTAAACATTGTGTTGTAATTATTCCCTTGCCTCAAATCTTCTTTTTTCCCCAGCAGAGGTTGACTTTGTGTTTCTTCCTGTTTTTTTACAATAGAAAACACCATTGTATGACTGTAACCCTGTGCTCTGGAGTGTGATTATAAGTAGGTATTATTGCTTTAACCCAGTTATAATGAGATCCTACAAACTTTTATAATCTGATTAATAACACAGTATTAGTCTTGTTTCTAATTCTTGGGTTTTAAAAGGAATTCTTTTATTTCTGTTTTGACCACAGTTTCAGTCCAATTTATCCTCTGATTATTACAGCAAAGAAAATTCTGTACACATAGTAGCAGAATATAATATCTGCCTTTTGTAAGAACTCCATGATGTTGTATTATCCTGAGACACTGCTATTTTGGTGTTGAAGGAATTGCCAATTAGGTAGTATGGATTCATTAGTAGTTGTTTTCCTGTTGTTTGGGTTAAAATCCTATATTAAGAAACATTATTTTACTCTTCGGTTTTTCTAATCATTCTTCTTATGGATGACTGAACTTCTACAAATTTTCTCCTCTGATCTTCTGATCAAATGGTAAAACTGCTGTCTTTTTGAGAACAGTTACTATGATTCAACATCTGAAATTGATTTTCAACCTTTGGCATTTTCCGTGTGGATTCGGGCAGGGAGAGACCTCCCTCCACCACGCGGGTCTGTGTGGGCCGTGGAAAGCTGCTGGTCTAACTCCTGGCGTGCACGCTGACCAGCCTGCACCCTGGATTTGGGTTTTACAGGGCTGGAAATATTTTTAGGAGTCTTTTCAGTCAGTGAAGAGATACCTGTGATTAACATCCCTGCCTTGGCTGTGTGGACGAGGCTGGGGCTGTGTTGTCTGGGAGGAGGTCCGTTGCTTTGAGCTGCATCAGGGTTCTGGGAAGCTGCTGACACGTTTCACTACTTCTTGTGGTTGAGTTTTAGGTGGGTTTCCCCCCATTCTTTGGCAAACTGCTGTATCATACACCTCATTTGCCATCAGAGTGTTAGGGTGTATTCTTTTTTTTCCATGAAAACAACACAGAACAAAGCCTCACTTTTAAAAATGCCATGATATTTTGCCACCGTTATGAAAATCTGTCAGCGCCGTATCTAATCTTCCAGTGCATAGAATATCAAAACAAGCACTATTGAAGGGATTGTACTTCTGTTAATACAGAAATGTCAGCTTCACACACTCGGAACCAGCTGCTATCAGCCTCTTTCCAAACGGGAAAGAAAAAGAATGATAAAGTTTCTTTTCCCCTCTGCTGTTACTGTTCTTCAGGCCTGACCTTCATAAGAGGACCGAGAGTAAACACCGCCTTGCTGAAATTTTGCGTTCAGAATACTCAAGTGGGATGGAGGCGGGCGTCGCCAAGGTCAAAAGCAGAGCCGGCGTGGGAAGACCAGCAGCCCGCCGCCGCAGCGCACTACCGAGCCTCGGCCTGAGGAAAAAGTGAAAACGTGCTCCATGAAACAGATCCGCAAGGTTTGCTGAGGGGGCAGCAAGCCTTTCTGGAAAGTTTTTTAAATCTCTCTCCACAGGATTGGGTCTCAGAGTGGGTCTCAGAGCCCCTGGTGGCACTAGCTTGATGTACTGTTCTTGTGAGAGGAGCCTTATGAAAAATAGCTGTGGCACCTTTCCCTGAATGCCACGTCCCGAGACCTTGGGAGCCACAGCCCTTATCTTTGGTGGGAGGAGCCCTGATGGGATCGGTGGGGGAGGGGAGGCAGCAGCGTGGGAACTGCCAGCTGACTTAGAGGATGTTCAGTGCCTCGTGTTCGCTCCATTGGTGCTATGTTCTTAACTTCCCGCAGGTGCTGACCTACGGGAGACCAGGTCGTGCTCAGCCCGGGAGGGGTCTGAGTCCTGCCACAGAACAACGTTCTGAAGAAGTTTGACAGCTTGACTTCAACCTTATTGATGCATATATTGGCATGAATTTTGTAAAGTGGGATGTTAAAAACTGGAATTGAACTTATACAAGAGAAAAAAATATTTATCAAGTAATCATTTTTTTATGTCGCAATGCTGTTAAAAAGGAGCAAAGGAGTTTTGAGCCTGGGTGGCACGAACCCTGTCGTTTCCTCCTGTGAACACCCTGCTGTGAACACAGCGCTGTGTTTCCCTGCCTGCTCCCCTCTCGTGTCCATGGAAGACTCTCTCAAGCTCATTGATTGACTGTTGCCTTTCTGTTTGCCTTTGAAGTCAAAAGCCACCAGCATCTCCAGCTTTTTTCCCCACTGAATCCGATCTTATCTTCAAGGCCTAGGGTCTTTGTATTGTGACCCAGGCCACAGCTCCTCAACCCCCCATTGTGTTTCCTGGGAGGTTTGAAAGAGGACCCCTGGAGTGTATTGATTTCCCAATAAATGTAAGATTTGCACACTTACAGAGAGGCCCCAAAGAGAAAGGGTTAAAGGCTTTAGCACCTCTGTCTGGGCTTTGCTCCTGTCCCCTTTTTCTCTTTCTCTATTTTCCTTCCTCCTCCTCTTTAGTTACTGTGCAACCATCCCTGGTTTTCCCAGGACAGGTATTGAGGCACCACTTCCATAGACCCCCGAGAGCCACATGAACTAAAAGTCCAGGAGAGGGTGGTGAGAGTTGGCAACATAGGCCTTTCTGCGGGGGCCACGGAGGGGCCAGTGTTCTTGCCTCCATCCTGGCCTGGAAGCAGCTGTCATGTAGACGAATGTCAGCCGACCCCCACCAGAAAAGACTCCAGTGTGAGGACGAGTGTGAGCCTAGAAAGAATTGATCCTCTGCAGAAGGAAAAATGGGACCTTCTCAGAGTTGGCTGTCACATATGAATTAATAAAGACCATGGGTGAAATTTGTAACAATAATAATTAAAAAAACCCTGCAGCACATGTCAGACTGACTTTGGGCAAATCCGCCACTGTTCTTTTATTTCGATGTGTAATGGTTCACATGATTTGGATGAGAAAAGGAGGGATCAAACTTTATAGACAAAACCCAGCTGTGTGAAAAACAGGATTAATGCCAGTGATTGGGGATGATCAAAGAGAAACCTTACTTTTCTCCCCCCATGGTATTAGTTCCACTAAAGGGTGAATTGGCAGAGTTCTGCATTCCTGGGGGGAGAAGTGCTAGAACCTTGCAAAGTGTAAGTGACTAGAATTCTGAGATCAGTATTACACACTCCATTTGCTAACTCTTAGGTGAGGGTTTCTTGCCGTAGATGCTATGTGGGCCTGTTTCTAAGAATCAGTATGTTACCCCAGTTAATAAAGAAACATGGATTTAGTAGACTTAGGGTTAATGTTATCTAGATTTAAATAACCTTAAAATAAATCTTTATTATTATGGCTCTTGACAGATTATGTATTTCAGGCATCAATTAGACAAAGCTTTAGCCTAATGCCACTGTACATATTCTAATTTTGTGTGTATTTTTAATCGTGCCTATTTTTCTAATTTCCCAAACTTGCCCATGTCTCTGCCTCATTCCTATATTTTAAAGTCACAGAAAATTTGGACGTTTAACGGAAGGTTGCAGCTTAAAAGCTTTTTTCCCCAGTGGGCTTGTAGAATGCTTTTGGGGAAAGCAGAGCACCTTCACGTTTGGGCCGCCTGTCTCCAGAAGGGCTGCGCATTCTCACGAACCGAAGCGCAGAGAGGGAGCCCTTGGCCCATGATTTAAGTCAGCGCTGATGTGATGCAGACAGCATCCTCTGCACTTAGAGAAGCAAGGAGCCAACCCAGTCTCAGCAAGGGACAGTTTTTGACAAAGCCCAGTGGGTTCTTTTGATTTTTTTCTTTTCCCCCTAGAGTGAAGGGAGGCGAGATATAGGGAAGAGAGGAGAGTAAATGAGAGCCTTCTAAGGTGGGCATATTCCACACTGCCAGGGGCCTCTGTGTTAGCACTTCAGCCCTTCAACACACAGTCGGTGCAAGCCGTTAAAATCCAACCCACACTTTCTAGAGACGGAAGTGTAAGGCTTTCTCACTGGAGAAGTGGCCTGTTTGAAAAGGTTCTTACTGGTCTTGTTGAGTCGCCTCCATGACCATTAGACTTTATTTCTTCATCTCCACCACAGGAAAAATTCAGAGCAAGGCCTGTCATTGCAGGGGGCATTGAGACACCTTCAAAATCAGCTCAAATTCTCCATTTCCAGACCTAAACTTTTAAACTTCATTGCGCCGCCCTGTTGTCTAGGTTTGGAGGGTGGGTGGGTGGGTGGAGGAGAGAGAATGCCTTCTGGGCGCCTCCCCTGTTGCTCAGCCCACTCTGGGGCTCTCACATTCATGCTTTTTTTCTATTTTAAGTGAGAGCTCACCCAGCCCCAGGATTGGGAAGAGAGAAACCAATTTAGCCTTCTAAGTAAAAGAAAGCAGAAGCCCACCTCACTGCAAAGGCTGTGAAGTTATTATTACAGATGGATATGCGGGACAATTTAAAATATTGTAATTATAAACTTGTAGGGAAGCCTTGTTCTTCATTAATGTAAGATATGAAATCGCCTCTGCGGTACAAGGACAATTACATAGTTGAGAATATGTCTGTGATTTACACTGCGGCTGTGTAAATGTAAGGGTGCTTGCTCTAGTCTACCTACTCCACTTTCACAAAATGAAAAGCACACCAGTGCAAGTTGTCCTTTGATAGATTTTTAATATGATTTTAAAGAGTTTTGTTTGGTCTCATTCTTATTCAATGAGATTAATTTAAAGCACTTATCCCCTGGGTTTAAGTCAATCCATGTAGGATTTGGGCAGGGTTTGTTGCATGGGGGGTTTTGTTTGCAGGAGGCTATGAGAGACTCCTTTCCCACTTCATTAACCCTGAGTTGGGGACGGTCCCCACTTTGCCCCCCACCACAGCCAGAGCTGGGGATTTACCAACCCCCATTCACATGCAAAAGAACTCCAAAGCAGAGGGGCTCCTTGACTTAATTAGCTGCTGTGCATTTTGCAAAATTAGAATAATACCCTCAACCATCCCACTAAAGAAAGGCGGTGCTGGTGTGAGGATGTTGGGGGGATGGGGAGGAAACAGTAGCAGACCCTGCAGTGAGCCTGGTTTTCGCAAGGGGTTATAGTCAACGCGCCCCCCACCCTTCCAGCAATCCCACGACAAAACTAGAGGGGGCTGGGCTTGCAGGGCCCTAACACTTCCCAGCCGTGAGCGTTTCTTCAGTCTTGGGGGCTGCAGGTTGTGTGTGGGAAGGGAGCATCTGCACCCACCTCGCCAGAGAGGGGACGGTCTCAGGAGGTGACCTTGGCCCTTTGAACGTGAACTGGAGGTCTTGAGTCTGTCTCGGACTTAAACCCCCTCCCCTGAGATCCTGGAGCCAGGGGCTGGGGCGGTGGGAAGCGATAGGGCACCGGGCAGACGTCGGGATTTGGTTCCCCTCTGGGTCTCCTTTCCAACTGACTCCCACGGGGATGGGGGATTGAGAAAATGCGGGGAGGGGGGTAGGATTACCCGATGTGGCGTCAGGTTCACAGCGAAGGCGCGTCGGTCCCATCCGGCCTTGGCCGCTGCAAGCGTCCAGAGCCGGAGCACGGCCGGGTGCGGGGCGGGAGGGTGGGGGCGACCGAGGAGGGAGCAGCCTCGGAGCCCATCTGTCGGCCCTGTGCCCCGCGGGCCGGTCACCAGCTGCCGGCGCCCTTGTTGTGGCCAGATGAGTCGGCTCAGCAAGGGCACCGCAGCCCGGCCTGACCCTCAGCCCTGGCCCCCAGGACCGTCTGCGAGCCGCAAGGAACCAGATGGAGAGGAGGGGGTGTGGGGGGCCACTGGGCTCGCCTCATTGTAGAGATGGGAAGACTGAGGCCAGGGAGGGAAGACCCCTGCCCAAGGCCACAGCGAGTCCAGTCGGGGGCCCCTGCACACGATCTCAGTGCCAAGTAGGAGGGGGGTAAAAATTCTTCCCTATTGAGGATGGAAAGAGACCGATTCCCAGGAGAGGAAAGTGGCTCTTAGGAGGGATGAGAGGGCTGAGCACAGAGCGACCGACGGGAGCGCGGACAGGCGCCTGGTCATTTATAAGAAGTTTATTTCAACATTTAAAAAAGAGAACCCGAGAGGCCTGGCCGCCCCTGGGACCAGGACGGGGGTGGAAGTGGGGGCCGGGGGTCGGGGTGGGTGGCCAAGCCCCCTCGGCCCCCTCCTGCCCCGCCTGGGGCGGGGGAGAGGACACAGGCCACAGACTCACTGATTCACGGACACGGTCACGGGCTCATGGGTCACGAATAAATAACTTCATATACACTTTGCACACGGTATGTACAGCTCAGCCGCCGGCCCGGGCGCTCAGGGGAAGGAGACCAGGTGGGGCTCTGCACGCCCCTTCTCCCCAGCTCGGGCAGGGGTGCGCGGACGGGGTTGGTCTACAGCTGGAGCATGGAAGGGGGCTGGGGGAGCGCGACGCTTGGGTCACCCCCACCTGCTCCTGGGGGGAGGCGCGGGTAGCCCTAGCGGAGCCGGCAGAGCCCGGGGACGGGGGTGGGCAGACGCGTCTATAGGGACATCCGGAGAATGGACGCTGCTCCCGGATGGAGCGGCCTGGAGAGAGGACACCCAGGAGGGTTAGGGAGACTCAGTCCGGGGTCCGGGCCTCCGTAGACTTGGCATTTGGCTCTTGGGGGACACTGGGCTGGGGCGCCAGGGAGGTCCGGGCAGGGCCCCGGGGCCAGGGGGCGGGCGGGCGCCTCACCGGGGCTGCGCGGCGCGCGGGAGGACGCCGGCA